GTGATTCTGGTGGCTCCCAGGCGCTTGTCCGCGTCATGGTTTCCGGACCTGCAAGCGCTAGTGTCCGGCTCCCCGTGGAGGCTCCCGTGGAGGGCAGACGCCCTTCTCCAGGCGGATGGGATAATCAAACATCCTCCGGAAATAGGCCAACGGCTGTGGGTCTGGCCGCTGAGCGGTCACGCTTAGAGGCTTCTGGGCTGCCGCATGATGTGGTCGCCACGATTCAGAGTGCGCGGGCGCCCTCTACCATTGCGTCTTACGCTGCTAAATGGGCAGCTTTCCAGAAATGGTGCACAGAGCGGAATGTTCAAGCGCTCTCCTGCCAGCTGGCGGATGTCCTGTCGTTTCTGCAGATACTGATGGACAGGGGCCTCGCCTTCAGCACTATTAAAACATATGCTGCAGCCATCTCATCCTGTCATCAAGGGTTTGGAGATAGATCTGTTTTCAATCATCCCCTCACAAAACGTTTTCTAAAAGGTGTCAGGAGGAACAGACCTGTGTCCCGCCCGCTTTTTCCCCAGTGGGATCTAACGGTGGTTCTGCACGGCTTATCCAAAGCCCCATTTGAACCCTTGGACCAGGTCTCACTCAAGTTCCTGTCACTTAAAACTGCATTGCTGCTAGCGCTAGCATCAGTTAAGAGAGTGAGTGACCTGACCGCCCTTTCAGTGGCTCCCGCATGCCTCAGGATCCGGGAAGATGGCGGGTCTGCTGTTTTATGCCCCAATCCAGCCTTTGTGCCCAAAAGCATTAATGCTTCCTTCAGGTCCAGGTCAATTTCATTGGCTGGACTTTTTCCTCCTCCCCATAATTCTGAGGAGGAGGCGGCTTCTCACCTTCTCTGCCCGGTGCGCGCGCTTGTACGGTATGTGTCACGCACTTCAGGGATTCGTCGTTCACAAAACCTGTTTGTGCACTACAGGGAGTCTTCCCTTGGTCAGGCGCTGACGGCCCAGCGTCTTTCACACTGGCTGTGTGACGCCATTTCCCTCGCTTACACGTCATCGGGGCAGGTTTCCCCTGAGGCACTCAGGGCTCACTCAGCCAGGGGGATTTCCTCTTCGATGGCGCTCCACAGTGGTGTGTCGATGGAAGACATTTGTCAGGCTGCTTCATGGGCTTCACCCTGTTCCTTTACTCGTTATTATTTACGGGATGTGTCTTCAGGTTCCATCACTCGTTCAGTGCTTGGACCCCAGCAGGCTGAATGAATGCTTACGACGCCTCATTGGCCTTGCTGAGATGGATTTCATCCTCTCGTGGATGATGTTTTTTTAGTGGGGGCTCTTCTTTTATCGTGGCTGCCTCAGTCTTTAAGCCTGGTCTGAGGCTGAACCTCCCTCACTAAAGGAGATTGATTGGGTGTGTCCATTGGTTGTGTTAACCAGTGTGGCGTAAACCCATCCAGCTGCGCTTTATTCCAATAGCAGCTCGCTTAAGGGCTAAGACTAGACGAAATAGAACGTTGGTTACGTATTGTAACCCCAGATTCTATGAGTCTAGTCGCAGCCCTTAAGCCACTTGGCCCCACTGGTTATGATGGAATAAGAGCCATTGGAGGCGAGCAGTGGGGTCACTGCGGTTATATACCACGAGGGGGCCCACTATTGGTGGGCGTACATTTAAGCTCTTCATGATTGGCTGATGCGGAGATCATCCTTCCAATAGCAGCTCGCTTAAGGGCTGCGACTAGACTCATAGAATCTGGGGTTACAATACGTAACCAACGGTCTGGTGTCCACCTCATAAAGACTAGACGGTCACGTGACGTACCTCATAAAGACAAGGCGGTCACGTGACGTAGTGACGTCATCAAAGGAAATACCCACGGTGTCGAATGCTTCCTACGCAAATAATAATAATAATAATAATAATAATAAAAAAAAGGAAAAAAAAAAAAAAAAGAAAGAATTCTTCCTACGCTGATGCTGACACGACAATGGTGCAGCGTGGCGCTCTGGACCGATGCGTGCGCAGGTGGCTGCATCGATGCCTGATTACAAAATTTAAATAATAATAATAATAATAATAATAATAATAATAATAATAATAATAATAATAAATACTGCGAACAAGTGAATTATAAATTATGAAGCTTCTGATTGAAAGGAACAAAGTTTGCAACTTTGTACAAATCTGCTGTGAATGCCTTTGAGCCCAATGTTATCATTAACAACAAATTAAACATGATCTAAAATGATAAAGTACCGAGTAAGAAATCGTCCAGTGATACAGCAGTTCAACAGGCAATCTAGATTTAATCAGCTGTCTGTCAGGATGCCTGTATCACTAAAGGATGCCTCTATCGGTGATCCAGATCTGATGTTTACCTGCCTGTAGATCCTAACTAATAAAGACTCAGCTGGTTTTAACCCTGAAGACCATTAGCATTTAGAGTACACTGGTGGAGCTCAGATCACTCGGGCAAAGGGGAGCTACTTGACATCATCAGTAACACAGCGCACTGCAGAAGTAAGTGACGTTATTAAAAGAAAAATAAAATTATGTGAAACATCGGGGGTGCTGGTTTTGTGTGCACACGAAGCGGTACAAGTGATAACGATGCTGGATTTCATAATTTTATCCTCAGCAGCAGCAGCACTGCAGGTGCTCTCTATGCCCAAAATGTGCATAAGCCAGGTCCTTAGTCGACTTAATGTTGCGCACATTTTCCCGCTAAGTTTTCTTTTATAAATCCCAAATTTTGCTGGAAAGTTACACAGTTGTCCGACCCCGTTTTGTGCGTAAGCAAGCTTTATAAATGAGCCCCCTGGAGGTTAGTATAACTAAGTGCAACAATCCCAGCCAGCATATAAAGGTGGGATCCATATGGATATACAGTTGAGCAAAAAAGTATTTAGTCAACTACCAACTGTAGACCTGCACCAGGCTGGGTATTTTTACAGATAGACTGACATGTCAAATGTTAATTTCTTTAATTTGGATGATTATAACTGAAAACTAATGAAATTCACAAATGCAGTATCTCAAAATATTAGAATATTGTGTAAAGGTTCAATGTTGAAGACCCCTGGTGTCACGTGGCGACTGTAGCTGATGTTGAAGCTTTGGACAAACGCTCGCTGTCGACCTTGTAGCGTTTTTTAAATGTCTTTCTTTCTTTCTTTCTTTCTATTTATTTATTTATTTATTTATTTATTTATTTATTTATTTATTTATTTATTTTATTAACAGTATATGCGTATTTCAATGTCTCGTGGAGACAACAACACACAATGAACATGCAAGGCATCCTTAGGAACAATAAAAGAAAAACAATGTGAATGTGGTATTTACCCATAATAATAATAATTTTAATTAACGATGAATTATTCCCATTTAATTTAGAATTGTAAATAAAAATATATTCATTTGTAAAACGTTCAAGTTCTCTTTTTTTTTTTTTTTTTTTTTTTTGTTAACCAACAATGGACTTTTCCCCAAAATTCTAACAAGACAGCTGAAAAATAAGTGTTCTACTCCTTCAGGGCTTTCCTGACAGAATTCACAAGGGTCAACTTCAAAACCAAACCTCTTCCTCAGTGTCTCTGCTGATGGATAGTAGTTGTTAAGAATTTAAAATAGCATTTCTTTTACTTTGGGTATTAATGGCCATTTTAGAAAATTTAATTGTTTTTCTTCAATGATTGGATTTCCTAATATTTTTAGTTTAATCTTTCTATCATAATCATGATAGATATATCTTTTAAAGGCTCCATTTAAAAAATTATTTTCACATTTTCTTTCTGTGATGTTTAATACTCCTAATAATACATTAGAGAAGAGGATTATGTTTTTTGTCAGTTGTATCAAAGTCTCTGGTATAGCCTTACATACTTTCTTATATTCCTTAAGAGAACATTGAATGCTATTAAATTTGTATTTAAAATTCTGTAGCTGTAGTATTTCACCATCTTTATCCATAATATCGTGTACAAAGATAATTCCTTGGTCAAACCACTGCTGGTTAAACAAAGACTTTCTGTTTGAAACAATTACTCGATTATTCCACAAGGTGGCACAATGTGGGGTAAAATTATGGGTAAATACCATCTTTCAATAATACAATACTTATTTATGAAATTCAGATCATTTAAAAGGCAATTTAGTGATTTCAAAGTCACATTTCAAAAGAATGTTTAGCCCACCAAACATCTTGAAGACATTTTTTGGAATATGAAACCAAATTGACTCTATTAGAAATTCTTTCAACCACTTTGTTTTAAATGTTCCCAAAATTGCTTCAAAATCCACTGATTTCATGCCTCCATTTTTATATTCTTTAACCAACTGGGATCTTTTTATATAGTGGGTTTTATTTCTCCATATAAATTTGTTTATAATAGCATTAATTTTTGTTACTGTTTTTGGAGCGATATAAAGAGATTGACATGGATAGATCAGTTGGCAAATACCCTCAGACTTGGACAATAAATTTCGCCCAAAAATAGAGAGATCTCTGCTAAGCCATTGGTTCAGAGCTTTTTGTATTTGATCAGTTTTTTCTTTCATATCGATTTCTTCTCGTTGTTTTTCATCTGCAACTATCTTAACTCCTTGCAGCGTTTGTTGATGTGGAAAAGACGCAGCTGCAGCAATAAAACTGCACTAATATACTTTACTAAATTAATACTATACTATATTAAATTGTATAATACAAAAGTTAAAATTTAACTGAAAAGTATGTCTAGTTATTTTTCGCAAACATTTAAAATTTACGACTGAATTTTTATACTCATGACTGAAAGATATTAAGGTTATTATTCTTTTATGACACTTAGTTAAAATAGATAATGCATTGGCTAATATGAATGTAAATTATGCTTGATATATGACTTACTATGCTATCTTTATATATTCAAATAATTTATTTTAATCATTTGCAGTCAAATATTTTGCTTAAGTAATTTGTAAACCACTTCCTTCAGCTTTCATTTGCATCCAAACAGAATTAAAAGCTATTCTATTAACAGTTCCGTCTTTTGTCACCTTTTCAGATTGCAGATCCAGAGAAATGTGACCAAATGTATGAAAGTTTGGCTCGTATAAATGGAAACGTGTACAGACAAAGTGTCATGTTGTGGGCAAGCTGTTTAACCCAGGACATGAAGAACCACATGAAAAAAACAGGTAAGTAAAATAGTAAAATGATTTATTAACCGAGGATAAGGAAAACTAAAGGCGCTGCTCCAGAAAAACAGGAACAGGACGGGACTGGAATCTAAAACGAAGAATAAACAATCGTGAAACTTGTGCCGGAACCAGAAAGCCAAGAGAATAATCTATTTCTGGGTAGAATTCAGGCGCATTGCAAGCTTTTCAAAAGTGTGGGGGATGTTGTCTGTGCCTAAAATAGTTTCATTCATGTTATTCATCTTGTTAGTTTAATTTCCATAATAGCGGAGCAGGTGCAAATTTTAGACGCGTTACGCATGTCTCCATTTTATACATGTTTAAACTGTTCAGAATACAAATCCAGGCTCTGTCTCGTTAGATTGGTGTAACTAAAGTTTGTACTGAATGAAACTTTACATTAAACCATGTTGAAAAGAAAAGGATCCGATTAAATCGTTTTCCCTCTCATTTACAGTCACGACGTACAGCGCAGTGCGCATGGCTCTGGGGTTAATCAAGTTTAATTGTTTCTCTTTGCAACAATCTTCACAAGAAGTCAAAACAGTTAAATGGCAGGTTACAGATATTTCCATTTGACTGTTTATTTTGACGGATAAACTCAAGGATGTTGGTTGTTTTGAAAGAATTACCCCAACGCACACTGATGCGCATGGATGAGCTGACATTTAAATCGTTACGCACATCGCGGAGGTAACTAAATCAGTCAAGGAATGATTCCCATCAGAACATCAGAGCTTTATACTGGACACTGTGCTCAGCGCAGCTCGCAGCGCACACGGTGGACAGTGAGCTGAAGATCTGTAGAGGGGTTCGCAGCGCAGTGCAGAACCACAACGATGCGGTAAGATTTCCTCCCACTGAAGCGGTCTGGAAACCCGGTCTCTCTGAGGGATGTGTCACTTGGAAAAATGCTCCTGTTGTCCTGGAAAAAGGATTCGAACTTTGCTAAACTAATCTTCAGATTCATGAGTTGCTGAACCAAAATCTTTGATAACACAGGGAAAATATAAAGAGGTATTTCTGCAGTTTGATCAAGTTATTCAACCCAACAAAACATAAGCAAATTTTTTTATGCATTTACTGCAGATTTTAAGTAATTAGTGACACTTTAAATAATGTAATTGTTGCTTTTTTATTTTTTATTTTTTTTACAATGTGTTATTCCTCCATTTAGTATAAGGCAGGGATAGGCAACCATGGTCCTAGAGAGCTGCATGTTTTCCAGTTTCTAATTGGCTGAACACACTTGATCCAGGTAAACAACAGCAGGTAGCTACAACAAAGATAGTAGGAAAACAAGCTGTGAGACTGTGGCTGTCTAGGGCCAGAGTTATCAGAGACAAAAATCCTGATGACCAACCTGAGTTTACATAATCGAACCACCAGGGGGAGATAGAGTGCTACAGAAACAGATTACTGGAGCGAACACACACTTCAGATTAACACCATGTAATTTGGCACAGGAACAGTGACACGTCAGTCACACAAGAATTAAACTCTGGGAAAAAATGGGAGAAAATTCCACGTAAGGCCTCTGAAAGTGCAGCAGCAGGAAAAATGTCTACATTTTTGTTTGACAGCTGACTGGTTTATCCACACGTTTTCCATAAGAAGAAACGTCAGTGAACAAGTGTAATCTTTCTGACTAGCAGAAACAAACGTTTGCTTTGGAAACCATTAAAGCCACTCTATAACACATCAGGAAGCTTCCTTTGGTCCGTGTCAACAAGGAGCATTGTGGGAAAAAGTTGGCATCGAGCAGATGACCTTTTAGTGACATGATGGGGTTTCTGTGGAGTAAGCTTTCACAAGTTAGCTTGACTCTATCGATCTCAGCCAAGTGGACACATTTATTGGTGTTTTTATCCATTCGGGTCTTTTTGTATGTTTGTGGTTTTCTGATGCTACTCATAAAACATCACAAACGGGCAACTAAACAAAACGTTTATGTTTCCAGGCTGAGCTCATCGTTTATCCAGTTTACTGACTGATCAAAGAAAGCCCTTGCAGTCTTACAAAGCTAAAAGCTTTTTGGATCTCTGTTGATCCAAACTTTTCAACCCTTTGTGTGTTGTCCCTTTTAGTCTGAAGCTTTTTGGTTTGTCTGATGTAAAACTCTGCTGTAGAGAGGTTCACTCATCAATTAAAATTAGGCTTAATTAATCAGTTTTAATCTGTGGAGGTTCATTAATCTGTAAAACAAAAGAAAGACAACAAAACCTGTTACTCACACTGTTTGATTTCACTTTATCAAAATTATAGTTAAAATCAGATGTCCAGCATTGTCAGTTGATGAAAGAATCGATTTCTATCACCTTCCATACCTCAAACTTAAAAGAAACACCTGGGACCAGCACCTTTTCCCCTTGATGTTTCTATTCTTAACAAATTCAGGAGGGAGCTGAGCTTACAGCTTTGACTCTGGTCCTCCTCCTCCTCTGAGAGGATGTTTATACATAAATCCGTGGGCCTGTGTGTGTATGTGTGTGTGTGTGCATGTGTGAGTGTGTGTGTGTGCGTGTGTGTACGGGTTGAGCAGAGTCAGAAATTCTTTCCATTACCCTCAGCAAATCAATGCACTCCTCCTCTATCTACTGTCCCCATGAAACCACATGATGTCCGTCTCTCTCTGAGTGTGTGTGTGTGTGTGTGTGTGTGTGTGTGTGTGTGTGTCACAAAGTCTGATCAATAAACTGATAGGAAATGTAATCAGTAAAAAGTGGGACATTCTGGGTGTTTGATGGTGGCTCAAGATAAACTGCTGCTGATGTTATTCTACAGTACACAATGAACAATGAGTGCAAACTGAATTCTTGCTAAACTTGTTGATCTAAATTTCAGGTTCTCTAAAACAGCAATGTGGAAAGGAGGCATGGAATAAATAATATTAGACGTTTTTTGCTCCTAGGAAGATTGTAGCTCTGCCTATCTAAAATTTAAATTGTACCTGTATAGTCAGGATACCTCCTGGACAACTCCCTGGTGAGGTTTTCTGGGCACATCCAACCAGGAGGAGACCTAAAGGGAGACCCAACACGCTGGAGGGACTATCTCTTGGCTGGCCAGGGAACGCCTTGGGATTACCCAGGAGGAGCTGGCCCAAGTGACTGGGGAGAGGGAATTCTGGGGTTCCTGCTAGGCTGTTGCCTCCATGACCCAACTCCGGATAAGCAGAGGATGGTGGATGGATGGACAGTATACATTTATGTCCAGATATCCAGTTTGAACTAGTAACAGCTGAATCAGAGTTTCTCTTAGTGGGATCTCAGTTTCTACTTCCATTCCAGATAGGAAGAATGTATCTGTGGATAGGAGGTGCTTCAAACCCCACACGCATGAATAGGAAATGTGATGTCAATTGTCCTAGAAAGATGACATTTTAGATGTCTGAAATGTTCATTAAGTAATAATGTTCTCATAGAAATCTGGAACATTCATTTCTAATAGGAACAATAGAATTATAGATATGTGGAACACATATTCAGTCTGCATAACAAGTGTTAAAAAGGCCACCTCAGGTTTTTAAGGCTCTTTAGATATCTCAAACGTAATCTGTACTAGTGCAGTTGTTATTATAGATCTCTGTAATTATACTAAAAACAACATACATGTTGATATCTTCATTTGCAATTCTTGACTAATAGGAAAACAATTAGTCCAAGGATAAATGATATTATTGCCATAAAATATAGGAACTACAGATTGTCTGATTGTTGCCATGAGCTCAGCTTCATCTTACTTCTCTTCTTGCATCGCTGCAGCCTAGTATCTGCATGACAAACGTTACCCAGTTCTCCTGTTATCCAATTGAATATTTGGAGCAGCACAACGTCTACAGCTAATCTCTACAGGTTACAGGGTTGATTTGTAGCCTGAGAGGCCAAACTCAGGGCAGGAAAGCCCCATTGGAAGACAGACACCCGGCCTGCTTTCTGTCAACCAGATGGAGGTGTCAGCATCGGACGACACTGCCATGACGACGGGTCAGTAAACAGCCTCTCCTTCACTGTTGAACAGCTAATCTCCACGGCAACGGTAAACATCCAAGTATTCTGATGGTGTGTTTATACGAAGTGGATTAGTGTTGTCTAATTTACTGGGCGCCACTTGGAAAACACATAAGTAAAACATTTATTCATAGTATATAATATAGTAAAATACTAATTATCTAAAAATGCAAAGAATGTTGCATGTTAAAATAATGATGTCGGGGAGTGATTCACCGTTTTAGCATCGCGTTGCAAATGAGTTTTGTAAAGAGAAGTCCATTAAAACTCAAGAATTTGAACATTTTAATAAAATCTGTTGATTAAAGTAAGATTTAATGGAAAATAATTATGCTTTCATTCTACTTTTTACCTATGCTTTTTTCAATTCAATGCCCAAGAAAAATGCTTCATTTGTCTTGATAATCTCATCTGATTAAAATAGCATGTTTTTGCAGCAACAAATGTATAATATGAAATTAAATCTTCTGGTTGGCAAAAAGAAAGTTGTAAATTTGAAAAAAAAAACAATCTCAATTAATAAATTAGCTGTTGAAATGCTAATGATAATTCATTAGCATTCTAAATCAATTAAATTAGAGCCCATAAATGCAACATTATTTCTCATAAATCTCTAAAAAATATTTGTGTTTTAATTTTTATTTTGTATAAAAATGTCAGACTGTGTCCTCTTTTGCAACTTTTGAATTATGTTTCTGTGAGAAACGTATTGATCATTTAACCATTGTAGATTGTTTCATGAACAGCCCCTGTTCAAGGAAATTGAATTTACACCCCTCAGGACTGATGAGCTAACAGCTAGTCCAAGAAAAGCAGCCAACGTAAATAAAGGATGTCTTGAAGTAACTATTTATGTATTTTTACTCAAATTTTAAAAGCTTTCTAGTTATTTATGATCATAACCTAAAGCATAGAAACAGAGCGCTAATTCCTTAATATTTCTGCTAAAATAAACAGGTCATGTGAAGGTGATCCACGTAATCTTTTGTGCGTTCATTCTGTGTGTCTCTTAACTGCAACCCTTGGTTCTTTTTTTTTTTTACCACAGAAAGGAGTTGTTTCCATGTAATGGTTTACAAAACTAGATTTGCAAAAACTGCTGTGAATTTTAAGACATTATAAAAGGAAATTGATGCAACACCAAAGAGGATTTAAACACTATAACCTGTTGCTTTCAAAGTGGGCTTCAATGATCCTTGTGGTAGAAAATAGACCAATTACAGATTGTTTAGCACTCTGCTGCCCTCTGCTGACCAGAAACCCCACTTGACAGTTCTGTGGGACGGATAGGTCTATCTGCTTTTTGGCCGTTGTTTTGATTACTGTATCGTTAGCTAATAAAAAGGCTAGCAGTTAGGCTAATCAGTTTTTGGCTGTCAATAAAAAGTACAATAAGATGAAAAAGAAGAAGTTTATGATTTTTGTTGACATGAGTCATGACAAGAGGCAAAGTAATGCCTTTGGAGGCAAAGCGAAGAGCTTAGCCCCGGGGTGAACATCGGCGAGGCCTACTCTAGTTAGAGGGAGCTATAGGAGGCTATAAATCACAGACTGATGGTGACCTGGCTTTGTTGCTACTGGACTTGTAAGTTATAATATTTTTTGTGAATCTTTTTACTTTGTGGCCTATTTTTGTATCAGTTGGCTCATGTTAGCGTTAGCTTGTTGTTAGCTCTAGCAACAGCTGGCTGTGGCCGGGTTGTTGATGACAGTTGTAACTCCACTTTCAACCAGCAGGGCAGAGAAGCAGGAAACTCTTTAGTGTTGCTTTAAGGGGGTGTTGAGGAAGCTAAGAACAGGTTAACATTTATACTGAGGATTGGATACAAATACCTTAAAGAGTTGACCCACCAAATACGCTACTCGACTAATCTAACAAAATAAGAATATTTAATATCTGGATAAAATTATGTCTGTCGCGCAGCTTCTCATTGACAAAAAAGTATTTATTTAAAATTTTATTTTGCACATTGAACTCAAACTCAAACAAATCTCAGAATAAAGTCACACACCAAAAAAAAAAAACCTCATCCTCACTGATGAAAAAATCAAACATTCAAACACTTTAAAACCAGCTAAGTCACACTATATCGATACATCCCATTCCATCCTGCACGTTCACCTTGAGGTCAGGAGGAAAAACTGCAACAGTCGGACACAAAACAGTAAAAGTCTGGAACGAGCTGGTTGTTCTGATCACAGTGGGAAGATGTTCGTGTGTTTATTCAGTTCCCCCGATTGATTTGTCTGAGGTTGTTTTTTCCTGATTGCGCAGACACAGCAGACACAACCAGATAGACTTCAATGAGCCTAAATCAAACTGCTGATGGAAGCGCGTCCTCACAGTACAGCCAGGTCATGGCAGCTCTTGGAGCGCACTTTGACGGCCATGCGCTGGTTGTTGCGGGCTACCAGTCTGTCCAGGAAGCGCCGAGCCTTCTTGGTGAGACTCTCTTTTCGTCTGTAGATAGAGTTTCTGTGCTTTGTGACCTCGCTGCTGTCCCGTCTCAGACGGATCTGTCTCACCACGCCCTCAAACAGCTCGGACACATTATGCTGCAGAGATGCAGATGTCTCGATGAATTTACAGTCGAATACCACCGCACAATTACGGCCCTCTGGGAGGAACACAGGAAAGAGCAGTGAGAGAAGCAGCACATAATCCTTATCTATATCGCTCCACTGTGACCCTTGACCCCACCTTCCACAGCGACCTCTCTGGCACGGACCAGGTCACTCTTGTTTCCCACTAGGATAATGGGAATGTTTTCAGCTTGTCGAGTTCGCCTCAGCGTGATGCGGAGCTCCGCGGCCGAGTCAAAACTCGAGCGGTCGGTGACAGAGTAGACAATGACGTAAGCACTTCCCACTTTCAGACAGTCACCATGAGAGGGCGGGTCACCCTCGTCCTGACAGGAGACACAGATGGAGAACCATCTAAACTCAAATACAGCTGGAAAGGTTACGGTCATCATGAAGGACACTCGTTCCAAGTCTGCACGTTACAAACAAACACCGTACCAGTTTGTCATTCTCCCATGTGTCCATGACAATCAGAGTCGTTTCTTCTCCGTCTACTGTCAGGATCCGCTCGAATGTGTTCTCTGCAGCAAATGATAATATACAAAATTAGGAATTGGGACACTGTGATGAGAAATGGGCTACTGGAACAAAACACTTTTGGGCAAGGGCAGAGAACTGTTGGAATGAATGAACGGGAGTTATTGGAAAAGAATATGGGAATTATGAGAACTTTGACAACCATCACTCAGTTGGACTAAAAAGCAACTCCAGACGTCCCAATCATTCGACAGAGGAATCTACTATCACATCTAGAGACTGATGATGCTACGGCAAGCTGGGCCATCAGACACCCCGCTGGTATAATAGGCTAATAATCAAAGGAGCTGATAAAAGCCACTGATAGCCAGGAGATAACCACTAAAGCTGCTCACATAAAGAAAAGAAGGAGGTAGATGACTAGAGGTGGTGAGTGTCTGAAGCAACAGAAACACAAAGTGGAGGTGCGGAAACAGGAACAGGAGGGACCATCATGGAGCGACGGGGCCCTGCATGCCAGTCAGAGAGAGTGGCTGCTGCTTTCCAGAAATCCGACCAGCAGCTGGGAAAGGCAGAACTTTAGGCCTAGTCCACACGTAGCCGGGGTTTTTAAAAAACCAATATCCGCCCCTCCAAAAACTTGCATCCACACCACCTCGTTTTTAAAAAACTCTGTCCACATGTACCCGGATAAATACGTTGTTAAGGACATTCCAGACCTGTAGGCGGCAGTACTTCCCCCGTTCTTAACCTCGTCCTTCGTCTGTGGTTTTCCACAAGGAGCAGTAATTCCGCTTGCAAAAACAAACAAGCAAAAAGCGCTTGGACAATTGATAAAGCGAGCGCAGCTCTGAGGCCATCCATGATGTCGGCTAGTGTAAACACAGGTCGCACACGTGATGTCAGCATTTTTTTGCTGTGGAAAGTGACGTTGCGGACCTTAAAACTCCGGTTTTGTCTGTCCACACGCAGACGCCCCAAAACGGAGAAACCACAGATCTTCACTTTGGCCGGAGTTTTTAAAAAGATCCGTTTTCGTGTGAAAAAACTCCGTTTTCGTGTGGATGACAGGCCAAAACGTAGAAAAATATCTACGTTTTGGCAGATCCCCGGCTACGTGTGGACAGGGCCTAAGACAAGAACAGGATCTCTGTAGAAGTTTGGGTCTAGCACAGGGATCCCCAATCCTGTCCTGGAGGGCCGGTATCCAGCATGTTTTAGTTTGAACTCTGTTTCAGCACACCTGATTTCAATCAGCAGCTAATTAACAGGCTTCTGCAGAGCCCAATGAGCTGCTGCACAGGTGATTCAACCACTGAATCAAGTCTATTGGAGCAGAAAAACCACAAAACCTGCTGGATACCAGCCCTCCAGGACCAGGATTGGGGACCCCTGGTCTAGCACATCAGACAGGATTCAAGAAACAGGCTGTCCAAGGATGTCTCTGAGACAGTCCAGCCCATAATAGCAGGATGTAAGATGAAGGCAGGCAAAGAGCACACAGAACACCATAACCAAGTGACTGGAATGCTGTGATTCCAGAGAAAATAACATCAGTGAGTAGAAACAGTAGACGATGGAGCAAAAACAAAGAGGAAATAAGAAAAGGAAGTTGTGGAAAGTCTTCATGGTTCTAGAGGTCATTAGGGAACCTGGACTGTGACTCACAGACCTCCCCCAATGGATCCCAGGAAGAAGCTAAGGGATCTCTAGGAACAGCTAAGGCCCAGTTCACACGACAGGATTTGAAAATAATCAAATGATTTTCAACACATGATGAGTGATGAAAGTGAATCACGGATTTAACAGTTTTGGTTCTACAATGCGTGGTGTCCAGCCACATGGCTAAAACTACTGATTTCACTCGTGGACATTCTTCGGGAAGACGGGAACACAACGTTTGATCAAACGTGACTTCAGAGTAAACCAACACGGCATAGGAGGAGCGTGCCAGTGCTTCCATCACTTCACTTTCTGATTTGTTAGCCTTCGATAGCGGACCAAGACAATCCAACATGTTTAATGTATAGCTCAGTGTCCTAGTGGTGCGAGTGTCTGGCCTGGGACTGGGAGATCGTGGGTTCAAATCCATTCAAGGCCTCCTCACTTGACACTCAGCAGTAAAAGGTTTGATTGGGGGGTTAAACCATGAAAAGTGACGCTCACCGATCCCCCAGGGGATGGGTAAATGCGGAGAACAAATTTGACCGGCATTTCAGACATCCTTCTGAGCAGACTGGAGCGTCCATTTCTGAACAAGAGCGTGTGTCTATTATACCCCTGATGGGGTGGTTGTGACATAAAACATAAAATAAACATTCAAAGCAACATTTTCTCACAAATAAATAATCCAGTTGTTCTTTTTATCTTCTGATGCTGTAGGATTCATATCATTACCTTAAATGAACTAATACAGACCCATTAATAAAGACCTTATCACACACACACACACACACACACACACACACACACACACACACACACACACACACACACACACACACACACACACACACACACACACACACACACACACACATGTTTGACTAAACTTGGGAACAGCAGACTGACACAGACCTCACGCTGTGCCAGACTCATCATGGATCAATGCCGATTGCCCCAGAGGGTCATGATCACATGACATAAGAGTGGATCGATGATTCTGGGCTAGTCAAGGTTGCCGTGTCACAACAAAATCAATGGTACAGTGTGGAGATACTCAGGGTTATGTGTGAACGGTTGTGTGAAGCGCTAGGCCTATTTTTTACACGACGCTGCCATGATGACAACAAACTGTAATATTTTGTCCAGTACTGGATGGCAACACCTGCTTTTTTATGGCAGATAATAGAAATTAAACAAATGTCCTTAAATCCCTGATCCAACATCCTGGTTTCAGCTTGTGACTGAAGGACGAGGCAGAAGATGCTGAGAAAGCTCTGAGAAGAGAGGTGCAAGTTTACCGGGATGGTCATGGTTTCCACTGTGTATATGTATCACTTCCTGCCAGAGCTTTAAATCTGAATAATCCTGGGAACGTTAGACCCCGTCATGACTGACGAAAGCCAGAGTTCAGAGGAACATTCACACAGAGCGATAAATTTAATGTGTGTTTAATGTAAAAGCAGTTCATTAAACAGTTAAATAAAACATAAAAGCGTCCTGTCGCCTCAGACATGAAAGATAATCACAGGCATCATCCTACCTCCTGGTTGTTCATCTTTCTCTGTGACTCCAGCAAAGATTCCAGCGAGGCTGGTCTTTCCGACACCGTGGTCGCCCAGCAACACCACCCTGTAAACACAGTCCGAGTCGCTCTGCGAATCGTCATCTGAGTCTGAGCTCCAGTGGGCGCGGTAATTAAGGGACTTGTCTCCAGGATGGTAGGATGCTGATTGTCCTAAAGGAGGGTGGCGAGGTGGACCAGAGTGGCCCGAGTCAGGCTGGGTGCTTGCAGACAGTCGAGGGTCCCGAGGCCCTGATAGCTGCTTGTAAAAGGGCGGGATCGGCGTGCTGCCTCGACGCCGCAGGGGCTCCTTCTCTCTTTGAGTGTTAAGGGTCATGTTGCTATGGTGACACCACCAGCACAGGGCTACCCTAAGGAAGGAGACATGACAATCACTTAATTCTGGTCCAGACTTTTGGATTCCTGGTCTGAATTCAGACAGAACCAATCATCTTAAATGTGAGGCTGAAGCTCTGCTGAGCCTTTATTAGGTCTCAAACTAAAGATTTAGTTTGGCAACCTGATCAAAATTATCCCAGCACTTCAAAACTCACAAAACAAACCGTGTCTGAAACACATGAGAAGTTTGTTTTCCCTGATAGTGGACGCATTATGATGTGTTAAATATGTTGGTTCAAAAGCAAAAAGGAGTCAAGGGTCGATAGGATGGTGTCATCAAACTATTCACTAAACCTGGAATTAATAAATAAAAACATAAATCATCAATAACAGAAACACATAAAAGTAATAAAAAATCCTTTTCATATGAAAAAAAAAACTCCTAAATCAGATCTCAGTGACATCAGATGATCTCCATGACTACACATGATAAAGTAACTACACACAAACACACCTTCTACAATTAATAATTCAAATATTTAAAGCTGCCAAGAGTCAGAGCCAACAAGTCCAACCTTTAAGTCAGGGGAAACCTGGAGCAGTTCCCTAAAAAAGTGTTACTAAACCTAAAAGATTGCACTTTTCCCTCCACTTCAACTCTTTTGTGTAGGCAGAAAAATGTCTTCGTGCAAAACAGCAAATGAGGCTGAATGAGAAATAAAATTATAACTAATTATAACAATATTAGATCCAATAAAATAGATCCAAACATACGGTCATCAGCAAAAGCAGCTAAAAGTCATTTTTATTCAAAGCCATCAAACTTTATTTTGACTGAAAACATTTAAAGTAAACAACAATAAGGTGCATTTTTTAAATAAAAATTTAAAGCAGAAAGATCTGTTTTTGCAAGTGAACAAACTCCATAGAACATATTATGTGTCTACCAACATCACAAAAACCATGAAGTGCACATTTACTCTGAGCAGTTTTGCAAAGATTAAATTTGATCCTCTCCTGGTTTTAAGTTTTTAGAACAAAGTACAGAGAAATATTTGGACTTACCGTGCACGCCATGCAGTGTGTGTGTAAGTCCAGCCCAAGTAAACAACAAAAATGAAGTGAACCCTGTCTCCCTGTCTCTGTCAGTGTAACTGGACGCCGGTGCCACAGTAACCCGCCTGATAAAAAAAGTTCCACAACAGCGTTAAAAATTCAGCAGTGGAATCACGGTTATCGGCCTCCCTCTGTGTGTGTGTGTGTGTGTGTGTGTGTGTGTGTGTGATTGTCAGAGAGCCGGCAGAGGAGGAACAGATATCTGAGCAGGGTGTGTGTGGTTATCAGAACGGAGCGTGAGCTGCTGTAGGAAACATTTGGGTCACTTCCTGTTTAATCTAAAATATGCAGCTGAACTTAATGAAACAATTTAGTTCAATGCTTTGTTTGCTAACCAGTCGAAGTCTCTATGTAATTCAGCCCTCAGGAAGGTGTCGAAGACATTGTGCAGCTCTGAAGAGGTCATCTCCCGATCTGTGAAATAATGTCTTTACGGTAGCTGCAGTCAAACTTCCCACACAGACAGGTAACAGAGCCAGCAGTTATTGTCGTACGAGTGAAGGAATCTACATTTTGATGCATGCATCACGTTTTTCTTCTCCCAGCATAATTTGGTTTCTGTAGTTCACACGTGTCGTTATGGAAAATTTGATTATAGAGGGCACATGTCACTTCCGCTGTGTCAGTGTGTGTGTCTGATTGAAACTCAACACACCACAGATGTTTAGATATTGTCCACCCCCACTCGGTTCAAAGGTTTAAGTGAAAGACGAGGAGTTTCCATCTGCACCCTCTGAGTCTGAGATCCAGCATGGGACACAAAGCTTTGGTGTAATTTGGATTTTTCCATGTTCACACAGAAACTGACGTTTTCTAACTCCATTCAAATCAAACATACTTTATTAATCTTGTGTTTTTAGCTGCGGGAAGGATCTTCTGTGCTGCTGTTGTTAATGATCAGAGATGACCATCATGTTCTTCAGGTTATCAGGTACTTCCTGGAGTTTTCAGAGGTGTCTAGCATGTAACCTCCTGTAGCAAACACTGAAGAAGTTCAGTCTGTTGTCTGTGGTACACGCTGCATTGTCCAGGTGAAGACTGAGGTTTTTACATTCCCCCGCCAGGTAAGCCATCTCTGGAGGACGTTCATGATGCCTGACCGTTAGAGGAACAGATCTGCCATCATAAAGAGCCACAGGTTCAGGAACAAGGCAGGGTGTCTTCTGGGTCAGGGTTAGGGATGGAGAGGTTCTGCAGAACCTTATAGCTGTTCTGCACTGAGGAAACAGACCAGCTACTGTTCTAGAGCCAATCAGCTGTCCCATAAATGCTGAATAATCCAACAGAATCAGTATTGGCTTCAACACATGATTTTTTAATTATTGTTCCTGGATTCACACTGGAATGCACGCTACCGTTCTATAAAAGTTAAGTGCATGAAAATCCCCGTTTTCAACAGCTGGAATTCATGTTTTCTTTGGGAGAAAAATACATGAATGTATTCTTCATTTAGAAAAAATGAATAAATATTTTGATTTATTCCTGGACTGAGCTAATAAAGCTAACCTGTTTAGTTAGCTCATGCACTTCTTGTACTAGGGGCAAAAATCATTGCATCAGAATTTAAGATCTATATATTAATAAATATCATCAAGCTGCATCTCTAAGACAACTGCCCAGCCTGGGCTACAAGACCATATAAAACTTTTTTGTGTTCCAAACACAACTAAAACTATGATTAAATGATTCACGACAAAACACTAAATGAAGAAAAGAAAGAAAGAAAAATCCACTTTTTTACTGTTACACTCTATTGTTGGTAAAAAAGCAGACAAGCAGTAACTTTATCCATATGAACTTTATTCCAGCAGGAGGGACAAGCACACATGCAGCATTCGTCCTTCGACCCTCAGCAGAACTTCTCCTGAACTCTACACTACACCTCCATATACATGTTAGCGGTACTCTGCTGCCACCTAGTGTTCAGTCCAGTACACAACATGTTCCATGTCCATTTAATTTACCAGTAACACAAATACAAATATTTACACATCCCAACAAATCCCACAATGGTTACCTTTACAATGAGACTAAAGCAATTGGGGCAGCAGTAGCTCAGGAGGAAGAGCGGGTTTCCCCAGGATCAGAGGGTCGTGGGTTCGACTCCAGCTCCTGCCAGGGGTATTCTGCTGTTGTGTCCTTGAGAAAGATACTTCACTCAACTTGCCTGTGTTAGTGGTGGTCAGAGGGGCCGGTGGCGCCAAATGGCAGCCTCGCCTCTGTCGGACTGCCCCAGGGTGTCATGAACTCCTCCTCTTAACCTCCTCTGCGGGCCGGGCTGGCGCTGCACTCCAGTTCCCAGCATGCCTGTCACCGACGCTTCCCGGTGACGTCATCCCGCTGAGCCTATTTAAGGACCTGTCACAGCGGAGCCGGCACTCAGTCATCATCTAACGATAGACGCCAAGCCATTCTAAGACCTAAGACACTAACTCTACGAACCATACGGGAAGAGAACTTCCCACGCTGCCACATATCAGTCTCCATCCACCATTCTCTCCGCGCCTGGGTCTCATAACCACTCCAGCTCAGCCCATCGAACCTGACAGGATGACTGAGTCCCGAGTAGACCCAGCGGAGATCGCACAGCTGCGAGCTGAGGTAGCGCAGCTGCTCAGCCGAGTAGAACGCCAGGAGGCGGACAACGCCCAACTCCGTGTGGAGAACAATCAGCTGTGTGCTGTTACTGATTGCCTCGCATCCAAACTCGATTCCGTCACCGAACTGGTAGTCCAACTCTCCTCAGCCCTCCAACGACAGTCATCTGCCACTCCTAACGTGGTGGAGCCGTATCTAAGTCTCCCAGAGAAATGGGATGGGATTAAAGGATCCCCGGAGAGCATGTTGGCCGTTCTGTCAATGACTTTGAGTGTCAGCCGGCACGCTACCGGACTTCCTGCTCTCGCGTGGCTCTGTTAACCTCCCTGCTGACTGGGCGAGCCGGTGAATGGGCGGCTGCTCTGTACCATCAGAAGTCCCCAGTCTGCAATGACTATGAAGCCTTCGTGAAAGAACTGAAGAAGGCATTCGTTCATCCCAGCAGCGAGGTCGCAGATGAGACACGCCTGCTCCAGCTTCGACAAGGCTCTCAGACCGTGGCCGAATTCACCTCACGCTTCCGGACCACCGCTGCCCGTCTAACCTGGGGTGATGCTGCGGTGAAGGCTGTGTACTTGGAGGGATTGTCACCCCGCATCCGTGAGGGCATGATTGGTCACGAGGCTCCAACCACCCTGGACCAGGCGGTGGACCTGGCTCTCCAGCTGGACCGCTGCCTCCTCACCAGACCAGGAGTGAGGGCAGTTCCCGTACAATCCCGAACTTTCCCCCGCCGTCAGGAGAACCAACCCATGGAGGAACCCATGCAACTGGGTCATTTGCCCCCCGAGGAACGGGCGCGCCGTTTTCAGGAGGGACGATGCGCCTATTGTGGGGCTCTGGGTCATCCCCGTGCAACATGCCCCATACGCCCGGGAAACGGTCCCTCCGGGTCGGTGTAGGAGCTGCCTCACTCGGAGTTTCCACTCATGCAGCTCCTCATCACACCACCCTCTCGGTCTCCTTCCAGCTGAGCCAAGGACCGGTCCCCCTGGTGGCCCTCCTCGACACCGGAGCTGCAGAAAGCTTTATCGACCAGGGGTTGGTCAACCGGCTCAAGATTCCACTCACCCTCCTCGATCATCCCGTTCCCGTCACCTCAGTGGACGGGCGCCCTCTCATGCCATATCCGATCACGCACCGAACCCAGAACCTCCGGATGACCATCGGAGAACACGTAGAGACCCTTCATTTCTTGGTCATTCACGCCCCTACGACTCCTCTCATTCTGGGTCATTCCTGGTTCCGCCTCCACGACCCTCACATCTCCTGGTCCACCAGTAAAGTCATGGCATGGGGTGTTAACTGTCGCCTTCATCATCCGTCTCCAGGATCACAGCCTAGGGAGACACCACCCAAGGATGTGGATTTAACACAACTTCCAGGATCACAGCCTAGGGAGACACCACCCAAGGACGTGGATTTAACACTCCTTCCACCCCAAAACCACGATCTGGCTCGGGTCTTTGCAAAGGAGCCTACCACCAAGCTGCCTCCTCATCGCCCCTACGATCTGGAGATCAGGCTTCAGCCCGGAACCACCCCGCCTCCGGGTCGGCTGTTCTCGCTCTCCCCGGCAGAGACCCAGGCGATGGACGCTTACATCAATGAGGCTCTCCAGAAGGGGTTTATCCGACATTCCACGTCTCCTGGGGCGGCAGGGTTCTTCTTTGTGAAGAAGAAGGAAGGTGACCTCCGGCCCTGTATAGACTATCGTGGGTTGAATAAAATCACCATCAGGGACCGCCATCCTCTTCCCTTAATGAGCACGGCTCTGGACGCCACTGCCCAAGCCACACTGTTTACCAAGCTGGACCTCCGCAGTGCATACAACCTCATCCGCATAAAGGAAGGAGAGGAGTGGAAAACCGCTTTCATTACACCCACTGGACATTATGAGTACCTGGTCATGCCCTTCGGCCTCTGCAACAGCCCTGCCGTTTTCCAGCGTTTCATCACTGATGTCCTCCGTGACATGCTGGGTCGTTGGGTTTTTGTTTATTTGGACGACATCCTCATCTACTCCCGCACGGCCGAGGAACACACCCAGCATGTTCGAGCCGTTCTGTCACGCCTCCTGGAGCACGACTTATTCTGTAAACTGGAGAAGTGTGCTTTTCACCAGGAGTCCACCTCGTTTCTGGGATTCATCATCTCCTCCCAGGGCCTGCGCATGGACCCACAGAAGGTTCAGGCGGTCGCGCAGTGGCCACTACCCAAGACCCTGAAGCAGTTGCAGAGTTTCCTGGGGTTCTGCAACTTCTACCGCCGGTTTATCCGCAACTTCAGCGCCCTGGCGTCACCATTAACTTCCCTGACGAAAACAACCAATCAGCCTCGCCCTTTCCGCCTCTCCCCGGAGGCCGTTGCTGCCTTCCATGAGCTGGTCCGCCGCTTTGTAAGCGAGCCCATCCTCCTCCACCCGGACCTAACCCGGCCTTTCGTTGTGGAGGTGGACGCCTCTGAGACGGGCGCGGGAGCCGTACTGTCACAACGTGGCCAGGACTCCAAACTCCATCCCTGCGCATTCTTTTCCCGGAAGTTCTCTCCTACCCAGCAGAACTATGGGGTCGGGGACCGGGAATTGTTGGCGATAAACTGGGCCCTGGAGGAGTGGCGACAGTGGCTCCTGGGTACCCCCACTCCTTTTCTAATCTGGACTAATCATCAGAACCTCATCCATATTCAGACCGCTCGCCAACTCAACCCTCGTCAGGCCCGGTGGGCCCTCTTTTTCGAACCTTATAACTTTCACATCGCCTACCGCCCCGGCTCAAAGAACCTCAAGGCGGACGCCCTGTCCCGTCAACACACCCAGGATCCAAGGCCTCCTGAACCGAGGTCCATCCTCCCGACCGAACGGTTCTTGGCCGCCCTGCAATGGCCCCTGGAAGCCTCCATCCGGGCGGCTCTCCCGGCGGACCCGGCGCCCCCAGAGACGCCTTCTAACCGCCTTTACGTTCCGGCCGTGTGTCGACAGGAGGCCTTGAGGTGGGGGCATAGTTCACGGCTCGCGGGACACCAAGGCCAGGCTCGTACCTTCCAGTTCCTCCGCCGGGCCCTGTGGTGGCCCTCTATGAGAAAGGACGTGCGTGAATACACCGCTGCATGTGACATTTGCGCCCGGTCTAAGTCCACCACCCAACCTGGAGCCGGGGAATTGCAACCGCTCCCTGTGCCTAAAAGGCCGTGGTCGCACATAGGTGTGGACTTTGTCACGGGGCTTCCGCTGCCGACCACCTGGACACCATCCTCACCATCACCGACCGCTTTTCGAAGGCTGTGCACTTAGTGGCTATGGCAGGGCTCCCCACAGCTAAGAAAACGGCGGAGCTCCTCCTCGATCATGTGGTGAGGCTCCACGGATTCCCCCAGGACGTGGTGTCTGACAGAGGGCCTCAGTTCATCTCACGTTTCTGGAAGGCTTTCTGTCGGTTGGTGGGCGCTTCCGCCAGTCTGTCGTCAGGCTATCATCCCCAGACTAATGGTCAGACGGAGAGGGCAAACCAGCAGCTTGGGCGTTACTTACGCTGCTTCGCCTCGTCTCAACCGTCCACCTGGCCTCGTTACCTCCTATGGGCGGAGCTCTCTCACAACCTCCAGACGTCCTCCGCCACGGGTCTATCGCCCTTCGAGACCTGCTACGGATACCAGCCCCCTCTTTTCGACCATCAGGTGCCGGAGGTGGAGGTTCCGGCGGCTCAGGATATGGTCCCCCGCTGCCGTCTCGCTTGGATCAGGGCTCACGCCGCCATCACCCGGGCTAATACGGAGTACTCCCGACAACACCGCCGCCGCCACCGGCCCGGCCCTGTGTTCCAGCCTGGTGACCGGGTTTGGCTCTCTACCGCAAACCTCCGGTTTCCGGCTGGTTCCAGGAAGCTGTCGCCTCGCTTTTTGGGGCCCTTCCCAGTCCGAGATGTCCTTGGTCCGGTCGCTTACCGGCTGCGCCTCCCTTCCACTCTTAAGGTGCACCCGGTATTCCACGTCTCACAGCTCAAGCCGGTGGTGTCTTCTCCTCTCCATCCGCCTCCGGCCCGGGTGCCGACGCCCCGAGATGTCGATGGGGACCCCGTCTACACCGTCCGCAAGATTCTGGACGCCCGCCGCCGGGGCCGTGGATGGCAGTATTTGGTGGACTGGCAGGGTTACGGTCCGGAGGAGCGTAGCTGGGAGCCTGCCCGCTCGCTTCTGGATCCTTCCCTGTTGGCTGATTTCTGGTCTCGTCGCCCTGGGCCTTCTGGAGCCGTCCCTCGCGGGGGGGGGGGGGGGGGGGGGGGTCTTGTCATGAACTCCTCCTCTTAACCTCCTCTGCGGGCCGGGCTGGCGCTGCACTCCAGTTCCCAGCATGCCTGTCACCGACGCTTCCCGGTGACGTCATCCCGCTGAGCCTATTTAAGGACCTGTCACAGCGGAGCCGGCACTCAGTCATCATCTAACGATAGACGCCAAGCCATTCTAAGACCTAAGACACTAACTCTACGAACCATACGGGAAGAGAACTTCCCACGCTGCCACATATCAGTCTCCATCCACCATTCTCTCCGCGCCTGGGTCTCATAACCACTCCAGCTCAGCCCATCGAACCTGACACAGGGCGGCTGTGGCAATAAAGTAGCTTACCATCACTAACAGTGTGTGAATGTAAGTGAAAGCATCTTTGAGTGTTTTGAAAAGCGCTATATAAGTTCAATGCATTATTATAATCACATAGACCTTGTGGTTACAGAGCTATAGTCATTAAGGTGTGGGCGTGTCATCTGTCCCTCACTAACATTATTTTTAATTACTTGTCTTGAAATTGTCTTGAATGATTAAAATGTGATTAATCAAGATTAATTAATTACAAAGGTTCTGATTAGATTGCATTTTTAATCGAATCCCATCCCCTAAACATAAATATGCACATTAAGGATCAGTTGTTGTGATGTGTGCCCTTGTTTATTAATGCCCTCATGTGGTCACTAAAGGAAGTGTTCCTCTGAAAGTTTTACTTTAGGGACTCCAATCTGCAAAGTTGCAACTTTTTTTTGTTCATTTATATGATTTAGTTTTTTTCTGTTTTCTATATTCACACAAAAGATCTTTGTCTTTTAAGTATTTATAGATTTCCTTGTTTCTTATTATCTTTGTCTACAGACAGGTTTCATCACATTGCTTGTCTTTTGTACAGGAGCCATTCTGACAGGTGGAAGAGGCCTGCTGGGGTTTATCTGCCTGCTGAGGAGGGAGGCTTCCGGACTGATCCGGATCGGTAGGAGGGACATGAGGAATTTCAACTGGAAGCAACAAAATAACCTAAAATTAACAGTTTTTTAATCAAATCTCCCACTAAAATTAATAAACCATTACAGTTATATAAATTTTTTTTACAATTGATAACATTTCTACAGACCAGTGAAACTCTTTGGTCTATCTTGACTAGAATGACGTGCCGCATTAATCCACTGGGAGAATCTCTGGAGAAAACTGTGTTGTGCTGCAGGGAGACACAAGAAAACAGAAATGTTAGCAAATATAAATCCCCAGTTCATTATAATGGCCACAGTTCTCCACAACACCTGATTCCATCTGATACAACGTTTCAACTTCAAGCTACTTGATAACTCACTCTTGATGATCTGGTTGGTAGCTGATGAGTGCATTGGGCCCGGATCCCTCGATTCTCCAGAATCTGCATGTTCCTCATCAGGATTTGGTTGGTCCTCCACTGAAGGAAAGATCCGGTCCAGGAGGTAACCCAGGAGTTGCTCAGCATGATCTGGTTTCGTTTTGATGGACAGTCGGAGAGGTGGCTGCTTGGCAGAGACACTCAGCTCCATAAAATTCCTGATAAAACACAATTACAAGATTATTTTTACTAATTACAGTTAAATCTGGGTTAAGATCTGCTGGAAATAAACACACCAGAAAATAGTTTTACATTTATATTAAACAGCAAAAAGTTAAAGAGCTAACCTGTTTCTGTGGAGTCGAAAAATCCAAACAAGAATCAGAAGAACGACCAAAATCACAACCAGCAATGTAACAAGGAGCTCCATCAGCATCTCATCCATCAAACTCCTTCACTAGAAAAACCAGAAAAATGTCTTGTGATTAAAGGGCAAGTCACCCCCTGGCAGATTCTTACTCATCTCCCACTTCCTGTTTGAAAAATGCAACAAATGCTGTTGCCTAGCAGACCGAGAGGGCGGAGCCTTTAACAAATATACACACTCACGACATTGTGACGTCATAATGTACCATCTAACATCATAGTGTACCTCTTAGCCAATAGCGATGGCAGATTTAAATTCAAATGCAGTGCTGAGTTTTTGCCTGACAACGGCGCATCGCTGACTGTTTTAGGCAGAATATTTAAATTTTAACTAAGATGCACTAAAGTGCCGAATTATTGACTACATTTGTCTACAGCACAATTGGACACTCATTTATATAGTTTATCAGCAAAAAAAAAAGGTGATTTGAAGTGACTTGCTCTTTAAAAATAAGAGTAACGAATTTTGGGGCCACGGGAAGAGCTAAGAAAAGGTTTAGTGTAAGTTTTCACACAGTCTTTGATCTAAAAATCTCTTTTCTATCTCTAAAATTACAATGTAAAGAAACAGTTTCCTCTTTTTTAGCCCTCGAGTTTGGTGTTATTCTCAAGTTCAGATCAGAATAAACATTTAAATTAAAAGTTTTAAACAATTTGACACAACATTTACCACACCTGCTGCTATCACACACAATCAATAAAGTTTAACATTTTCAAAAGTAAACAGAATCTTAGATAAAAACATTATATTGAAATTAGAAAAGAAATTGATTAAGTCATTAATTTGAGTAAATACAAGTTATGAATTTTTTTTAACCTTTTATGAAACAACAATAAATAATTTAAAAAATGAAATAAGTTGATTTAAACAAATATATCATCTGTTATCATACTTATTTAATGTTATATCATTATATTCTGAAGCCTATTTTCTTCCTTTTGGTATTTTAAGTATTCTTAACTGAACAGACTTATTTTAATTGATAAAATGACATATTTTTATTTATCTTTCTGCAACATCAATGCATTTTGAGGAAACAAAGTTAGGAGGTAACAGGTCACATGAATGGAAGTGTTTTATTTTTGACAAAATAAATAGTAATTCATTATTTGAAGTGTGTTAAATGTACATTTAGATTCTGTATTACACAGGGAATCTTTGAAAAACACGTGACACTGACTGTTAACGAATAGCAAAGACATTAATTATAACCAAGATCTCCTCTTCTTCTCTGTTGACTAGTTTGACAAAGATTCAGAAACAGAAAATAAAGACAAAAGAGATGTCTGAGGGGTTTCAGCATTTTTAATCAGATCAGGAAATTAGTAAAATCTTCTACAAAATAACTATAAATTAAATTATACACATTTGTCAAAAGCATTTATAATAAGTGGCATAAAATACATGAGTTTTTGTCATATTTTAGGTTCATATTAGGAGTAAAAACACATATTCTGATTCACCCTGACGGGCAGGAACTAGGCACCATAATAGTGACGTAAATACACTTTACAGCAAAATTGAAAAACACAGATAATGAAAAATGTATAAAAGTGATGTCGGTAGTACAACCAGATGTGTACAGTGTGTGTGTGTGTGTGTGTGTGTGTGTGTGTGTGTGGCACGCGCTTTCAGGAAGCATTATTTGTGTTTTCGTTGTTATTGATCTCCATCCTGCTGATCAGTTCAGTCACCAGCTGTTGAACAGTTTGGGAATGCAATCGGCCTACATCCAGGACGCCCTCGTGGTTCACTCTGTCCGACACATCGTAACTCTTAACAGCCTGTAAATCAATCAATCAATCAATCAGTCTGTCCATCATCCATCGATCAACCAACCGTCCATCCATCCATCCATCCATCCATCCATGCATCCATCATCCATCCATCCATCCATCCATCCATCCATCCATCCATCCATCCATCCAAATGCTGAATCAATAAAAATGGTTTAACTTGTCAACAAAAACAAAAAGGAAATGCTAAATTGCTTTACAAGCTCAACTAATAAAGTTTTTCAACTTTTGCATACACATTTTTATAGGGTTGTTACCTTGTTTGTGATCAGTGAGAGACCAAAGACTCTCAGACCACAGTGAGTTGCCACTACGACCTCTGGAGCAGTACTCATACCTGAAAACAGATTAGAGGTCAGCTCTGTGATGCAGGAAATTCCCACTTAGAACAAAGAATTTGTCAGTTTGGTAATAAAGTCTTACATCATCTCACTGTGTGTTCAACACAGTTCCCCTGTGATAAAGTTATTCAGCATCATCTAACATTAAATAAAAATCAACAAAAAATTGCAAAATGTATTTTTGGTAAATTTGAAAAGAAAATCATGTCCTTTATTACATAAACCTTATAGAAGTAAATGTGGCTCAGAGATTGTCCTACCGACTGCATCGACCCCCAGTCGATGCAACAGTTTAGCCTCTGCAATGGTTTCAAAGTTGGGTCCTCCAACCATAGCGTACACACCCTCCTGCACCAGACTAGCAACACCCATCTGCTTGGTGATCTCCATAGCCATGCATCTCAGCCCTTTGTCGTAGCAACCTGACATAGCTGGAAAACGCGGCCCAAACCTATAAACCATCAATGGGCAGCCATCATTAACAGGTGCAGCTAAAGGTGTAAGACAATATAAAGATATACAGGTAACCACTACAGGTGTTACTTTTCATCATTGGGCCCACATAGTGGGTTCAGTCCAGCCAATCCTGGGAAGTTGATGTGGTCTTTGATAATCATGATGTCACCAGGCTGGAGGCCGTCAGCCAATGCGCCGGCAGCATTTGTCACGATCAGTGTCTCCACCCCCATCAGCTTGAAGACTCGAACTGGAAAGGTTGTCTGATGGAGAAACAGTCAAATATTTCATGATTTATTGATTGTTTAATTTTTTTATTCAACCCCCAACCCATTGTCATGGATACGAAGTTTGTTAGGTGATGTTGAACATTTGCTACCAAAGATACAACTCTCAGGCTGGGTCTCCTGACAGTCACACAAACATGTTTCATTGCATTAAAGTATAAATGGAGTAATTTAGTCCGGGCGCTTTGTTGTGAAGGGGCTTTGATGGAGCGCCACCTAGAGGTGAGTTGAGCAGTCGCAGATTCATGAGGAGTGAGCATGTCTGTGTTGCTGGGAATGTGTGTCTGTAGAGGGAAACAATGGAAGCATTGAATAATCTGCCAAAAGCTGCATGTGACCAGCCTCATGCATGACACACACACACACACACACACACACACACACACACACACACACACACACACACACACACACACACACACACACACACAATGAGCTGATTACAAAAGTTTACTCAGCTACTCAGCCCAGCGTAATCAGTAGCATAAGACCGACTCAGTAATGTGTATGTGTGTGTGTGTGTGTGGTTGTTTATTTGTCTTTATAGGTTGAAGTGAATACATTTTTACTTCAACCTGTAAATTGTGGACATTTCCACATTGTGGGTACATGTTGCTGGTCCACACAACGCTAAGCACCCTGAGACTTAAGTTTTAGAGCTTAGGTTTGAATTAACGCTTAGTTTAGGTTAGGGTTAGGGTATGTATGGGTCAGAGAGAGAGAGAGAGAGAGAGAGAGAGAGAGAGAGAGAGAGAGAGAGAGAGAGAGAGAGAGAGAATTCATGATAAGCAGTATTTCATGCTGTTACATAAGAGTTTTGTTTACGTTGTGTGTTTTTGTTTTGCATACTGTGATTGGCTGAAGGAGAGGACATGGCCATAACGTAGCTCCCCTGTTTGTGTAAAAATAACAATCCTGTCTCACTGTACTCTGCATCTCTATGTACATGCTCTCATTTTTTTTGGATTTTTTTCCTAAATCTAATAAATAAAAATCTTTATGCTCACTCCTCCTTTTTATCATGTAATAATCATTCATCTTTCAGAAAAGAACAAAAATGTCACATTCAAGCTGAATCAAGTCTATTTCTCACAAAGCGGTCAAATAATATTTGGTGTGTTCGTACCTTTAGCAGCGAGTGTCCTTCATACATGTGGAAACGACCCTGCATACAAACACATGACTTCCCTTTAAGCTCCCCAAAAACGAGCCGGCCTGCATGACCCTGCACTGCAGCACACATACACACGCACGCACGCACGCACGCACGCACACACACACACACACACACACACACACACACACACACACACACACACACACACACACACACATACACACAGAGATGTAAAAATCTAAAAGTGACCTAATCTGTACTGTTTCAGTATTAATGTGTGTTTGCTGCACCTGTGCTTTGAGGAAAACCTGGGATGTCTGAGTAAGCGAAGGAGTCCTGACATTTGATGGTGTCAGCAAGCATTCCCAGTCCAGACCCACAGATAATGGCCACCTGGGGGCGATGCTTTGTTTGAGACATCAGCCAATCAGCTGTCTTTTGGTATTCGTCATGGCTGCCAAGAAACATGGGAGAAACAGAAACAATTCTAAATAAATACAGTAGTAAACAAATAAAGTATGGACTTGAAAAGAAGCTGTTCAAAGATCATCATCAACATCTGTAGCATGGTTTATTTTATTTTTATTTATTTTTTGCTTTCTGCGTCTTTGAACTCATCGAGGACCCAAACACTCAGATTTTTTTAAGGTGCAAAACAAAACAGAGCAAAGTTAACAACAACTCTGAAACAAATGACTTTGCGCCTGTTCAAAATGGAGCAGGAAGCTTAAACTTATTTAATAAAGTTTATTCAACACAACATACTTTTCAAAACGTTTGCCTCTTTCGGTCAGATCTTTATTTCATCTGTTTATTTCCTAAATGATGTTAAACGTTATCACTAGTGGAAGGTCAAAGTCGAAGCCCTTTTATTGAAGATCTTTAACATTTTCTGGCTTCTGAAAATGTTAAACCATAAAATTATTCTCATCATTAAACCATAAAACCCTCAGAGATCAACATGAACACATTTTACAAAGAGACAGAAAAGGTTAAAGGTATCATTTCTTACCTGATCTGCTCTTTGCTGTGCATGATAGAAGAGTTATGATGACTGGTGTGTGTGTGTATGTGTGTGTGTGTGTGTGTGTATGTGTGTGCGTGTGTGTGACAGAGAGTTAAGGAAGCAGGGTAACTGCAGCCAGCCGATGCTGATCAGACTACATATTCACCGCTCTCATGATTCTGATTGGTCAGCAGCTGGTCCATTCATCATCAGCAGCCAATGGCGTTGCGGTAAAACAAAAATGTGTTCGTGAATTCTTCACATTTTTTTGTGTAATCTGGTTTTGATTTACGTTTCTGCTTACAGTAATGTTTTTTATTGTGTTTGACACACATCTGCACAGAAAAGTTAGCACGACAGTCTGGTTTTTATTTTGGTAAAACATAAAACAAGCACTATTCTGATTATAAAATATTTATTATCCGTGTTTATATTGAACTTCATGCAGCACTGTTGACTGTAAATCAGATTTCCCCCAGACAGAGACGGTCCTAACCTTTAGCACACTGTCACACGTGCACCGCATCAACATGAATCGGAGAGGGAGCGCCTCTCATATAGAGGCTGTGTTAGAGTGGGTTCAGTTCCCTCTGAGTAACAAACATCAGCTGGTAAATAAAAGTCTCACATTATTGACCAAAATAATGCTTTCATCATTCAGTTAGATGTTTTTCTTAATCAGTTCACAGAAAAGTTCTGAAACAACAAAAACATCTCAAATTCAGTTTGACCCTTTCACCCGACAGGAACAACGTGATGCCTGGCTGAGAGGGTTAGAGAGCAGGAGCAGATGAGTGTAAACCAGAGGGTTGCTGGTTCAACCTCAGCTTCCCACCCCACATTTATCCCCCCCCCCCCCCCCGCTGAAGGAAGAACCATAAATAGAGAAGCTGTGACTCACACAGGACACAGTTCAGCAGCCTCTGTCCAGCTTTTCCCTTCATGCTCATGTTGATGTTACATGCTGCTGCATCACGAGTCCATTTAAACACCCTAAACCCAACGTTACAGACGCGCTACACACTCACACACGTCTGCAGCCTGTAGCGATAACAGACTCATCCTTGGTATTCAGAACCTGACTCCCATTGTTCCCAAAAGCAAACTGAAACGTGAACTCATGTGATCCCTGAACACATGCTGGCTGACTCTTTTTACATATCCAAGATGAGCTTCTGCACCAAATCTCTGTGATGTCTCTGGCCTGTACTGGCTCTGTGAGGATAAGCCGTGGACTTATTATCATTTGATGATTGTTGAGATAAAGTATGTTTTTATACATTTTCTGATTTATTGGTGCAGCTTGTTTCTAGGTGATGGGTCCAAAAGGGCTACACATAAAAGTAGATTTATTAGGGATGCTCAATATTGGATGCCCAATATGCCAATATTGTTAGACTCTTAATGTCCAGTACCGATATGAACCTATACCCATATATACCGTGTCCCCTCCTGTAACACTTTACCATAAAGGTCTCTTTATTAATGTTACCATTATTGTTAACTGTTAAGAGACCTTGAGGTTAGGACAAAGGGCCAGGGGTGGGTGTCTGCTTAGTAATGCATTACTTAATGTCAAGCATAAAGTTAAGCAGTTGTTAATACTTAATTCTTAATAATGCACCAAGTAATGCTAAGAAAGGGACCATTAAGTGTTACCAAGAAGAAAATCTAAACATTTCAAGTTACTATTTCTCCCATGCTTGCTTAAGATTTAAACATTTGTGACGAGGGGGAGAGACGAGGGCCCAGGCGGGATTTGATCCCCAGACTCCCAGGTGAGAGTCACACATGCTAACCAGTCAGCCAAAGAGACATCGTGTTGGCCATGCCAGGGCACATGATCAATTGGGTCACAGTGACAGGATGCTCACACTGTCGCATCGTCTGTTTGACAACAGTTTAAGTCAGTAACATGAAAAATCAGATACAGGAAGTCTGCTGCCTCCACCAGCAGCAGAATCTCATTTTCCCTAAGCGTGACGCTAAGAGGTGTTAGCTAGTGATGTATTTGTTCATATGTTGTATATTGCAGCTATGGTGATAAAATATTCATAAAGAAATTCAGATAAGAAAAGCCAGCCTTGGGTGACGATGGTTGTTTTAGTCGTTTGTTAGCTGGCTAGGTACAAGTCGCTAAGTGCTGTGAGGGCATCGTTCCTTCACTACACAGGGCAGACTTCTAGTTCACAAGTACACATAATCTAAACCTCAGCTCTGTCAAATTTTGGGAGAGAGGAGAAGTAGCTGAAGAGTTTGATGTACAACGTGTGTATGGTGTGTAGAAGTTGGGTTATTAAAAGACTGAAAAGCAACACACATATTTTCTGATATTAAATTTGAATGCCAATATCAGCCGACTACTGGTACACATTTATTATCAGACATGCTTAATATTTATTCATTTTAATTTCAACGATTATTAGAAAACAATGTGCATTTAACAACAAAACATTCCTTGTCTGTATGACCTTCTTCACCACTCTCTCTTTATTCTGCTCTCCCCACCTATTCCACCTTCCTCAGGATCCACTGATTTCCCTCTTTCCTGTTCACTTTCTCTCTTTCTTAACATTTTTTTAATCACAATTGCCCATTTTTGCTCATTTTAAATATATTTTTAAACATTTTCTAAATGCTTTTTTATATTTTTACATTTTTTTGTTTTTGTGAAGCACCTCGTGATTTTTATCTTGAGAGGCGCTATAGAAATGATATTTTCTTCTTCTTCTTCTTGAAAAAATAATTTCATATATAAATGAGTTTTCCAATGAGCTCCAGACAAGCATAACAACGCTTTGTGTGATTGTAAAGCAAAGCGTTAGATGGATTCACATGTTAGAGGTTCAGAGACATGTTGGGTTAATGAGGAGCGGCTAGGAACTCATCATCACTAATATTCATCACATGGTTCTCTGCTGCTGCTGATGAGGCTCATGTGAGTTTAAAGGAAGCTGATCAGAGGTGGACTTATACCAGCAGACTGCAGAACCAAGTCCAGCTGAACTTGCTCTACAACATTAATCAACCTGTTCAACTCAGAAACTGAAAATAAAAACATCTTACCAATTTTTTCCACATTTAAGAAAAACAAGATGTTGCACAGAGTTAAAGGTTTCCATCATCACACAACAGAGTCACTGTCAACAATAGGACAAGCTCTTTAGTTGCTGTGCTAACAAGTGATGATGGAAAATCTTCTTTATCCAATTAAATCCAATTCATTTATAAAGTCCCAAGTCCCACTAGTCATCACATACGGGTGAAATTACATCTCCGCCTCTGACCCATCCCCGTGGGTAGCAGTGAGCTTGGGAACCAACTGGTGGTTGAACTCACCAATCCAACCCCTTAAAAATGAGTGTCAAGCAGAGAGACATTGGGTCCCATTTTTGGAGTCTTTGGTATGACCTGACTGGATTTGAACCCAGATCTCCAAGCCCCCACGCTACCACTAGGCCACTGAAATAGTATAACACTTATAAAAAACAGCGACGTGTACTGAAGTGCTGTACGATTAAATAAAATGCCCAAAAGAAGGAAGTAATACAGTGGCAACAAGATTATAGTCACAGTAAAACCAACCATCTCAATCAAAGGCCAGAGAGAAAAGGTGAGTCTTCGGGCGAGAGTTAAACACAATAAGAGAGCCAGGCTGGTTTACATTAGTAGGCAGCTCATTCCAAAACCTGGGACCGATCACCAAAAAGCTTTGTCTCCTCTGCCTTTGTGTTGGGTCTTGGGAACCACGAGTGGCCCATGCGCAGCTGATGTAAGAGACCACACAGCCACATGAGACGCCAGCAATTCCTACAGGTAGTGCGGGGCACGGCCATTTTGGCATTTTAAAACAAAAAGCACATTTTTATAGTCAGTATTGTACCCGACCAGCGGCCAATGAAGGGTCAATATGACCGGTGAAATATGGTCGTGCTTCTGAGTACCAGTTAAAGGACATGCCGCAGCATTCTGAAGCAGCTGAAGACGTGAAATCAAAGACTGGCTGATACCCACATACAGGGCGTTACAGAAGTCCAGTCTGCTTGTCACAAAAGCATGGATAAGGATTTCAAAATGATGTCGCGATAAAACTGTTTTTACCTTCGCTAGCTGTCTCGGGTGAGAAAAGCTAGCACTCACCACCAAGCTTAAGTTTGTCAAAAAAGAAAAAACAATCCGTTTCCCAAAGTTAGAGACAGTAGGCTTAAGAAACTGAGTTAATGGCTCCACATCCAAACAGTCAGTACCACCTGCGTGCCTAGGGCCAATTTGTAAAACCACAGTTTTAGATTCATTAAAATGCAGAAATTTGCAGACATTCATGACTAAAAGGGCACCATGTCATATTTTCATCATTTTCTTGAGCCAGTATAAAATTACCCTTTGCTGTAAAGGGTCATTTTAGCACATACTGGTTCTATGGCCAGAATACCACACTTGCACCTTCAGAGTTGGCAGGCCGCTCCCTGCTGGTGGAGTGAAGTGTGGAGTGGAGTGGAGCTGACATGGTGGAGCTGTAGTCTGCTTCCAGCACGTTTCCTGCATGTTTTAGATCATGAATGCAGCTGATATGTTTGATTTAGTGATGAACCGCTCCTCTGTAAACTAATGAAGGCTGAGGTGACATTTCAGCTGTTGGATAGGGATCACACGTGAACATGTTGATGGCCTTACGAGTGTACACAAATCAGGGAGGTGATTTTTGGTCGCCTTACAGCTGCAATCCAAGCGAGCCAACAAGACTTTGTTATGTTAGACACTTGGTCTCGTGGCTGTGCCTCCAAGAAAGAAAACGGTGAACATTTAGCCCATTTTCCATCTTCATTCCCCTGGCGATCAGGTGTTGCACTCCACAACACAGCAGCAATTTACCATGGTTGGGTAATATAACCAATTAACGATAACATTTATCATTTATCATTTAAGCCACAAGAACGAGACTGAGAGCGCTGTTTACAGCAGTACCAAGCAACAAGTAAGGACTCGTAGGCTGCCAACGGGGCCGCCACGTCGATGATGATGTCACAGTCACGAGCTTTCTAAAGGTGTTAAAAAGATGAAAGCATAGCGAGGAGATAAGTTTCATTTTTAGCTTAACCACAGTGAATTAATAACGAACATCAGGGGTGCTTTAAAGC